TACTGCTGCTACTACTACTGCTTGCTACTACTGCTACTGCTTGCTTCTGCTCCTACTACTACTAATGCTGCTGCTGCTGCTACTGCTTGCTACTACTGCTGCTACTACTACTAATGCTGCTGCTGTTGCTACTGCTTGCTACTACTGCTGCTACTACTACTAATGCTGCTGCTGTTGCTACTGCTGCTGCTACTGCCTGCTACTACGGCTGCTACTGGTGCTGCTGCTACTGCTACTGCTACTACTACTGCTTGCTACTACTGCTACTACTACTGCTGCTGCTGCTGCTACTACTACTGCTTGCTACTACTGCTGCTACTACTACTAATGCTGCTGCTGTTGCTACTGCTACTGCTACTGCTGCTGCTGCTGCTGCTGCTGCTACTGCTACTGCTACTACTACTACTACTACAAGTATTGGGCCTTTGCTTGCAGGGAGATGAAGAAGAAGGACAAGGAAGAGGAGGAGGAGGAGAAGGCGGTGGGGGCGGTGGCAGCAGAGAGGAGGGTGGCTCGTGGAGACAGAAGAGTGAGGGAGAGCGGCAGGGTGATCCTCCCAGGGACGCACGCGGAGGAGGAGGAGGGGGAGGAGGAGGAGGAGGCGGTCGCTCAGGTATCACTCTCTGATTGTCTCTCTGTGTTCTGTTCTGTTCTGTTTGGTTGTAGGTCCGTCAACTCCCTGTGTGTGTGTGTCTGTGTGTACGTTCGTGCGTATGTGTATGTGCGTTCACATTAGTGCATATGTGTCTGTGTGTACGTGTGTGTGTGTGTGTGCGTGAGTGCGTCTGTGGGTGTGTGCGTGCGTGGGTGCATGTGCATGCATGAGTGCGTATGTGTGCTTGTGCGTGTGTGGGCATGAGTGTATGTGTGTGTGTGTGTGAGTGTGTGTGTGTGCATGCGGGGGTGTGTGCGTGCATGCGCGTGGGTGCGTGTGCACGCATGAGTGTGTGTGTGTGTGGGTGCGCATGCGTGCGTGCGTGCGTGCAAGCGGGGTGTCTGCATCTGAGCGTGCGTCTGTGCGTGCATGAATGATTACATGGGTGTCAACGTATACGTCCTGCGCATCTGTGGCTCACACGACTCTGTTGTTTTTCATCTCCACAGATGACTACGGTAGAGGTTACAGAGACGATGACAAGAGAAGGGGAGAACCTTACTACAGGAGGGAAGCTGACAGCAGGAGGGACGACTACAGAGGAGGAGGAGGAGGAGGAGGAGGAGGAGGAGGCCGTGGCAGGTAGGTCGGCAAATCCTGATATCGATAATAAAATGATGGGGATCCATTGTAAGGGATGATAGAAGGATTATATCGCGTGAACGGTTTTTACTAAATGTCGTCGCTTTGAAAGTGTGTATCCATGGGCGGTAAAATGTAAACAATCAGAAGAGATGAGTGGGGTTGTCAGGTGGCAGGCATAAAGGGGAGTTTTGACTGAATATCACCATTTTGAAACTGTCTGTTGGTGGTCAACTATCAGGAGAGATAGGGCAGATGGCCGGTCATGGATCAGCAGGCGTGGACTACGTCTACCAGTGCAGAAATAGGCCAGTAGCTATAGCTACAGACTACTAGGCCTCATCCAAGAGTTTTTTTTCCGGGCACCCCCTGTCGTTGCCGGCCGTGGGGAACCCATGCACAGCACCCAGGGGCTACAACGGACTCCCTGCCCTCAAAAAGAGGGAGTCCGCAGTCTGAAGTTCAAAACTAAAGATATTAACAACGCGCGTGCTTATTTTGAAGATTCATGCGGTTGCACGTCTGGCAAATTTTCTTTTGACATTAGCTGAAAACAAATGTGGTAAATTCGTGAGGCCGTGCTCGAATTCGTGGAACGAACTAGTTAGTATAGCAGAATTTTCAGGGAGTCACACGGATTCCTGCACATGTCAAATCAGGGAGTATTTGACTCCAGATTCACGTTAATTTCGCACCCTGTACACCTGCCTCATGGTTTGCACAGTCTTTGAAAAGTCCTTGAATTTGAGGGGAGGCCTTGAAATGTACTTGAATTTAGTAAATGTTGATTTTGTGCTTGAAAAGTCCTTGAATTTTTAGAAAGAATCCTTGCCTGTAACAAAAAGAAATTTGTACCATCAATAATGTGCAAACCTCAATAAAAATTGCGTTAAATGAGCTTAAAAAGCTATAGACACAAAAGACAGTTAAATGATGATCACAAATTACAGTAAGTCAGTAAAATCAGTCAGTAAATCAAGGTATGTTGTAGAGGTGACAGTGTTTAGAAGGGTTTATTAATGTGATCCAGCTAAGTTTTAGAGGTGACAGTGATTAAGAATGGGGTTATTATTAAATTAATCCAGGTATGTTTTGTTCTGTGTATGAATTCCGATAAAATGTCCGATGCAATGTCCTTGAATTTCCGATAAAATCTCCTCGAAAAGTCCTTGAAAAGTTCTTGAAACGTTTTTCAGTCCTCCTGTATGAACCATGTGCCTGATTCTTACAGGGATTTCAGAGACCAGCGAGACGGCAACAGAGACTACAGAGAGGGAAGCAGGGATTACAGGGGCGCGCGCGATGGCGGCGGCGGCGGCGGCGGCGGCGGCGGCGGCGGCGGCAGAGACTACAGGGAATCGAGGGAGTCTTCCTACCGCGACTACCGCGAAAATGTGAACCGCGACTACAGGGACTCGGGAACCCAGCGCCAGCGCGACAGAGACCAGCGCGAGACCTACAGGGACGCGCGGGAGGGCGGCGGCAGCGGCGGAGGCGGAGGAGGCGGAGGCGGTTACAGGGACGAGAGAGACTACCAGGCACGTGGCGCGGGAGAGAGGAGGGGAGGAGAGCGAGAGCCCCCGAGAGCGGAGGAGGCACAGCCCGTGGTGAGTGACAATGGCTAGGGAGGGAGGAAGAGGAGAGAGGGGAGGGAGAAGGGGAGGAGAGGAGAGGATTGAGGAAGAGGAGGCGAGGTTAGGGAGAGTTGGTAGCGCGCGCCGCTGAAGAGCCCAGAGCCGGTGGATGCCACAGCCCATGCGTGAGTGACAATGGCTAGGAGAGAGAGGACGAGAGGCGAGGCAAGAGAACGGCGCGAGCGAGAGGACGAGAGAGAAGGGGACGGGGATGGAGCGCGCCGCCGCCGAGCCCGAGACGGACGGGAGGCACAGCCCATGGTGAGTGAACAAATGGCTAGAGGCAGGAAGGGAAGAGGGAGAGAGGGGGAGGAGAAGGGAAGGAGAGGAGCAGAGAGCGAGGGAGGGGAAGCGCGCCGCCCGCGAGAGCCGAGGAGCCCGCTGAAGAGCAGAGGCAGGGCACAGCCCGTGCTGTGAGGACAGATGCTAGCGGAGCGGAGGAAGAGGCAGAGAGGGAAGCTTCTCCTTCATCGCCCTCCTCCATTTCCTACTTCCTCTCTTCTTCCTCCTCCTCATCCTCCTCCTTCACCTCCTCTCTCGTGCTCTCACCGTTGGCTCTCCGTGTGTGCGCTTTGCATACCATGCGGCATGGTAGATACACCCTTGTTTTTTGCTATGCAGGATATGCACTCTCAGAACAAGTTCGAAAGTCTGAACGGCCTGGAGAATGAGTAAACGTCTGACTCGGCAGCAGAAACAACACCACCATCATCACCAGTAGCAGCCAGCAGCATTGTAGCAGCCACCACCATCATCACCAGCAGCCTCAGCGCAGAGCGCAACCACCACCATCATCACCAGTAGTAGCAGCAGCAGCATCACCACCATCATCACCAGTAGCAGCAGCAGCATCACCACGATCGTAATCGGTAGCAGCAGCAGCAGCAGCACCATCACCGCCATCATAATCTGTAGCAGCAGCAGCCACAGCAGCAGCAGCAGCAGTGGCAGCAGCAGCATCACCACCAGCAATAGCAGCAGTGACAGCAGCAGCACCACCACCACCATCACCACCAGCAACAGCAGCAGCAGCAGCAACAGCAGCAGCATCATCATCATCATCATCATCATCATCATCATATCATCATCAGGAGCACCAGCAGCAGCAACGGAGAATCTACGGCAATGAAGCGACGGCTGCTGCCGCCGCCCAGGACGTTGGATTGCCTCCTCGCCCCTACCGCACCTCTACCCTGCCTCTACCATTCTATCGTGTGAGTGTGTGTGCGCGCATGCATGCGTGGGTGCATGTACCTCTGCATGCGTGTGTGTGTGCGTTCGTATGTACGCGTGCGTGCGTGTGTGCGTGCGTCCGTATGTAGTATGTACGCGTGTGTGCGTGTGTTTGCATTGCTGCAGCAGCAGCACTAGCACTAGACCCGCGACGATTTGCTGCTTCGACGAATCGACCCGATGCTCAATTGTTTCTTGCAAGTTTGCTGCTACAATCGACGCCGACGCCAGCGCTCTGGTGGAGGGGAGGCGGCGCGCCTTCCCTCGCCGTGTCGGGCGCGTGGGCAACAAGAGGCTAGCTAACGTGTAGCGTCTCCGCCAGTAGCGTAGAATCGTGTAAGTAGCTCTTTTCCCTGTAGCTTCGCGGGGAGGGGCGTTCCGTTCGTGGTATGACCGACCGCCCGTAGGTGGCGCTACGCTCGCCCCGCAGAAAAAACTGGAGATCGGTCGATCAACGGACGGCGTGTTACGTAGAAGTTTTTTTTTTTACCCATTTGATTAAATTGGCCGACCACGCTCGTACGTTGTCGTTGCTTTTTCGACTTGCGTCGCGGCGTTTAACGTTGGGGATGCGTGTTTGTTAGCCAGGTCAGTCCTTTGACAACGCTTGGGTTATGGGTTCCTGCTTACTATATTGGAGCACGTGCTCCCTTCCCGCCACCGGTTTTATATTGTTACACCCCAGTACCTGTTTTTGTTAATGAAGTGAGAAGGGTTTGACCTGTCGCCATTACATTGAAACTTCTTTATTTATGCGCGTGCGCAGAGAAATGACTATATTTATATATGAACAGATAAAAGGTTATTTCTCGATTGCCCTTTGCATGAAAGACGAAAGAAAAATGATTCACCTGTTTATTCCCGGGATGAAATGTGCATGCGTGTTACTTTGCGTAGTGCTATGGCTGTACTCTCCTATTCCTATATCTCTTCTCTTGGGGTTACGCCGTTGGCTCTGTGCCTACATTAGTGATAACACAGTTCCTGTCCCTCTGTGAGTGACAACACACTTGCTAGTGACAATTACATTGACTTGTGCTTTGAGCAGGTGGAAAGTGGACGACTTGCTTTGCAGTGTACCTTAAATTAGTTTGTCGTTTATCGAGTATATAGCGTTATATTTCACGTGCGTCTGCCCCCTCCCCCTCCGACCCACATTAGCCAGGAGGTCACGTGCGGAAGTGAAAACAGGGAGGGTGTCTGTTGGCAGAGGTTGGGGGAGGTGCAGTGTCGAAAAAGATGCCGCGACGCGGTGGGAGGGCGGAGAGGGTGGTGATGAGGGGGAGGAACTGGTCGGCAGAAACCATCTGTTTGTTGCTGCAGCGTGAGCGCGCATTGACCTAACAACCCCCTGTGTACTACGAATTAAGAGAAGCATGTCGTGGACACTGCTGTGTACTGCAGTGAGTTCTTGTAACGGTTGAGGAAAACTCCTCCTCTCTCCAAGAGAGAGAGAGAGAGAGAGAAAGGTGTGTGCAGCAATGATACGTTATGGACAGTAAAGCTATCGTTAATAATGATGATGACGATGACGATGATTACGACGGTGATGACGACGATGATGTTGACGATGATGACGACGACGATGATGTTGACGATGATGTTGATGATGATGTTGACGATGATGACGACGATGATGTCGACGATGATGTCGACGATGATGTTGACGATGATGTTGACGATGACTTCCGTGTGTTTGTTTTGCACGATGCGGTTGTGTTCAAGTAGGATGTCATATTAACTCTACCTACTGCCACGTCCGTCCCCCCCCTCCCCTGCACGCACGCATGCCAGCGGCCTAGGGATGACCGCCGCCCCCTCCCCCCGCGTGCGCGCCGGTGGCTTCGTCAAATCACCGTCGGTCAAGCATTCCAGCGGTCGGTCGTCGTTGTTGACCGCTGTTGTGTTTTCACCCCCCCCAGTGGAGGTCACGGCGAGGTCAAAGTCAGCTCAAGAGCTTGACAATTGTACCCGTAGCCCGTTTTTTTAAATACGCTGTTCTCGCGTACGTGCACACCCCCTCTGTCTCCTATAGTGTGACCATATATAGGTAATTTTGTTGGATAATCTAGGGCGCACGTACAATATTTGCCCCGTGTACGTAGCTTGGCTATATATTCTATCTTGTAAATAATGGTATTTGATGTAGAGTGTAGATATATTTGTGTGTGTGTGTAATCAGAAAACGTGATTATAGAGAGCAGGCGCGTATTTCTCGCTCACACCGGTTACGTATGTAGTAAGAAAGGTCGATTCGTGAGTTACCTACCGTGTGTGTCTGTGTCTGTGTGTGCGTGTGTGTGCGTGCGTGCGTGTGTGGGCGCGCGTGCGTTTGTGTGTGGGCGCGCGTGCGTGTGTGGGCGCGCGTGCGTTTGTGTGCGCGCGTGCGTGTGTGGGCGCGCGTGCGTGTGTGTGCGTGCGCGTTTGTGCGTGTTCATGATAATTTATGTGAAGGTAATTTAGCAGAAATTGCTTGTGAAATCGCTCACAACCGATGTGGATGTTTTCTTGTAAGTTAATTATTATTAATAAATAATTGAAGCTGTATACTCCACTACGTGGTTCTTTTCTCGGTGAATCTGTGTATGTCTTTTTTTAAATCTGCACGCACGCACACGCACAGATGTAGAGAGGGAGCGCACAAACCCATCCTCAGTAAACAAGCTTTGTAAACAACTATGGAACCATATCTCCTGTCATAACATGAAACCACTCTGATGACACCGTACTGCTTGCCGTCACTAGGTAACGTAAGTTAACATTTATAACGGTGATGTAAGGTAACATTTATAACGGTAATATAAGGTAACATTTATAACGGTAATATAAGGTAACATTTATAACGGTAATATAAGGGAACATTTATAACGGTAATAAGGTAACATTTATAACGGTAATATAAAGTAATATAAGGTAACATTTATAACTGTAATATAAAGTAATATAAGGTAACATTTATAACGGTAATATAAAGTAATATAAGGTAACATTTATAACGGTAATATAAAGTAATATAAGGTAACATTTATAACGGTACCGGTAATGTAAGGGAACATTTATAACGGTAATATAAGGGAACATTTATAACGGTGATATAAGGTAACATTTATAACGGTAATATAAGGTAACATTTATAACGGTAATATAAGGTAACATTTATAACGGTAATATAAGGTAACATTTATAACGGTAATATAAGGTAACATTTATAACGGTGATATAAGGTAACATTTATAACGGTAATATAAAGTAACATTTATAACGGTAATATAAGGTAACGTAAGTCTTACGAGGCCTAATATAAACGTTTAGTGTAGACGTTTAGACCTTCTCTCTACAACTAGTTACCACAGTGTTATATTATTATCCATCTAAAAATTCGAATAAACAGAGAATTAAATATATAATATATAGGGGCCCTAGATGGCGCCATTGCCTCGTGACTGTCATCAGAGCAGAATTTTTCACCAAATTACGCGTACATGTAGGAAGAAACATAATTTGTACTAATCGTTTGTTTTATAATGTGCTTTGCTAGAAGACACACTCTCGTCGTGCATAAGTAGTGTAGTGCATGCGTAAGTCGTCGCATTCTTAAGCTAAACTGCATATTTGATAAGAGCAGGCCGGGCGCATTGCATGTTTGTTTACCTTGCCAACAAAACTGGTGTAGTGTACTGTGTAGTCATCATGTTTTTAAAATCGACTGCCGTAGTCTATCTGCACAAGCGGATGTACAACTAACTATTCGCTTTCATGGGATGTGGCATGAACGTGTATAACTATAAGTAACAGAAAACGTTGAAACCAGTTAAACTATAGGTTGTACAATTACTAGTAGGCCTAGTACTAGTGCAAGTCAAGTAGTAAGTAGTACTATTTCAACCCAAGACTCGACTTCATACATTATAAATACCGTATGCAGGCTTTGTAAGTAGATTTTCCAGTATTTATCACAAATCAATTCTACGATTTACGTGGACACAATGGCTCAATAATGCTGCGCTGAGAGGGTCTATGTCCCCCAGGGTACTGCCGGAACGTACCCTGGTACTATTTAATATGCTGGACCGTACCTCGCCTACTCCACTAACGAGTCTAGGGAGTCGCCTACGCCTACTCCCTAACCCTAACCCTAACCCTAAACCTAACCCTAGCCCTAATCCTAACCCTAACCATATAAAATAGTGACCAGGGTACGTTCCGGCAGTACCCTGGGGGACATATAGACCCTGTGAGCCTCAATAATGCAGCTATTGATTTTATTATTATTAAGAGCTAATCATGCCTAATTGGAAGAGCTAATAGGTATTATTAGCTCTTGTTATTATCCTAATTGTCATTTAGCCAGTTCGGAAAGCTAGCAGTCTAATTGTGGAATCTCTCGGACCAAACAATCTTACTCAAAATCGCTTGTAGAAATGTTGAATGTATGTGGCTGTGTTAACACATTTAAACTACTACATAGTAGTTAGCGTAGGCTGGCTTAAAAGTAGTGAAATAGCTAGGCTACAGACATATTGACTTGTGGCAGATAGGTGGTAGTCTATAAGTAGATTACAGGCAAATTGTCTCACTATTAGGGCTCAAGGGGTCGTTGTCATATCAGGTACTACAGATATGTACCCGAGGTACATAAAAAATTAAAATGTATACACAAAGTGT